GGGTGCAGGGGGCTGTGGCACAGCAGCTGGGGACAAGAGGGAGGGCAGTGAGCAGCAAACACCCTGGCATTCAGTCGAAGGGACTATTGGGGACCCCAAAATCTGGGCGGGAAGGTTACCTCAGCAAGTAGCCGGGCCAGCTCGGGGCTGAGGGCAGGTGGGCTCTCGTAGCTGCTCTGCTTGACCCGCTCCAGCATGGCCACATGGTCCTCTGCTGGTGCCACGGGGAACTGGGGGGGGGCAGGGAGCAGGTTTAGGGGGTCCATGAGGTGCGTCTATATCCCCCCACCACAGTCCTCACCTCCCCACTGGCCAGGGCAAAGAGCAGAACTCCCAGAGACCACCAGTCGGCTGCATGGCTGTAGGGCCCCCCACTCAGCACCTCTGGGGCTGCGGGGATGAGCAGGTGAGTGCCTTGGGGGGCCGTGCCCCCCTTTTGCCTCCCCCCCACCCTTGCCCCCTTACCCATGTACTGCAGGGTGCCGCAGATGGTGTGGGCTCGCTCACCCCACCCCAGGTGCCGGGAGAGGCCAAAGTCAGTGAGTTTGAGGTGTCCTGTGGGGCAAGACACGGCGTGGGGACACACAGACGGGGCTCCCTGTGGACAGGGCATCCCCATGGGTGCCCCAGCTCTGGTGCCACCAGACTCTTACCTCGCTCATCCAGGAGGATGTTCTCCATCTGAAACAAAAAGTTGGGGTGGCCCCTCTGTGCCAGGGGGTTCGGAGACACCCCACACACACACCCCATCCCCTGCCCTGCCCACCTTCACATCCCGGTGCACGATGCCCAGGTCATGGAGATACACTGGGGAGAAGATGGAGCTGTCAGAGCTCTCCCCTCCTGGCACCCAGCAGACAGCTGCCCACCCCTGGGCGTGGCTGGCTTTGCCTGCAGGTCCCCGGTGGGGACAGTGGTTGCTGTCCCCAGCAGGGTGGGCCACTCGCCCAGCACCAGCACCAGCTCGGCGGCGAACAGGCGCACGGTGGCCTCGGCGAAGCGGCCGGCAGCTCGCCAGAGCGCGTGCAGGTCCCCGGTGCTGCAGTAGGTGCACACTGCCAGGACGGGCAAGAAGCCTTTACCCACGGGCTGGCACCACGGGCACCAGGGGTGGGAACTGGAGGCATCCACCAAGGTGACATGGGCACCAGAGCCCCCGGGCAATATGCAAGCACCATGTACCACAGCGACATGGGCACCAGAGCCACGTGGGCACTGCGGACACGCAAGGACCAGGGCCACATGAGCCCCAAGGTGGCACAGGCACCACGGCCACAAGGGTACCAAAGTGACACGGTCCCCAGAGTCACACAGGCAGTGGGAAAACACAAGCCAAGTGGGCACTGAGATGGCACAGGCACCAGAGCCACCAGGGCCAGGCGGGCACCAGGGTGGGGACACCTTGTTCCCTCCCACTCTGGTCCCTGCCCCCCCCCGTGGCT